TGAGATATGCAGGAGGAGATGTGAAACAGTGTCACGTAAGCATGGCATCATTTCTTGGCCTCCTTTATTCCCTACCCTCAAGCCCTGATATTGCGACCATGCAGCATTCCCTTCCCTGTAACTTGTTTTTCTCACCTAGTACTAGGTGAAACCCAACTATATCAGCCCATATATATGTAATTCACATTTGTAAACAGTTACACAAATACACCACGGAATGGCTGTGCCAGTCTCTTCCCAATTGATGCATACCTCTTTTATGTCTAGTTTGCTGGATATGAATTTTTCTGTGATAACCACGCTTGTAGGCACAGCCAAATGTCCTGCGACACTTCTTTCTATAGGAACAATTCTCACTCCATCCCTGCCCCCACATATCTGCCTCCCTTAACTGTGTCTTATAAAGATCCAAAGGGCCATTTTCTAAATTGATTGTATTTATTCAAGACAATTTAGCAACCAGTGGTATTACTTGTCAAGCAACGTGGACACGACCTAACACTTTGCGGTACTCCCTCAATGAAAGCTGACGGCTGAGGTTTCTTTGGTTCATGCCCCAGGACTATTTTTATTTGAAGGAATTTGAGGGGAGGCAGAGGAGGTCAGTGCAAATTGATAGAGACTATTTTCCTACTCCAAAATATAATTGTGTTTTCATTGTCTATTCCCCTATGCATCCTCCCTGAAGATGTGACAATGATAAATTGATGGGACAGGGTTTCTTTAGTTGGACCCTGGTTTTTGGTGTTTTGATCCATTCTTGCAAAGAGTGTTATTCAGCTCTTCTCCCTATTGGTGCCCCATCCCCTGCCTTTTTCCATTCTGTCTACAATTTTTCCCCGCTCCCTGAATCACATCCCTACTTCTTTGGATTTCTTCCTCCTTGTAGGAAAAAGGAAGGGGGCTGCATGAAACAGCACAGAAGATCACGATTGAGGGTCTCTGTACCTGAACCTCTCTCCTTTTAAAGCTCCACTGAGAAAAAATGAGAAAGACAGGTTCAAGCCCTAGCATACACAGTCAGGTCATTGTTGACTCATTTTATACCAACTCCCAGGGATGTGCATCTCAGAGCACCGAGAGCAGATCCTGAATGAGAACACTGATGTGAACATGCAGGGCCATGAAGAAGAAGTCCACTCACTGGCCAGTCCTTCTCAGTCTCCTGTTCTGGTGTGCCCTCCTCATCCCCACTTCTAAACGTCAAAGTGGCGCAGGGAATAGCTCTTCACCCGCTCCTCCTGGCTGTACTTTCTCTCTAAGTGATCCGCCGCAGACTCATGACTTTAAACACTGTGTCCTCTTGTCTCCATGATTCCTTTCTCCTGCCTTTCTGGATGACAAGTAGCCTTCTGTAATTTTGGCATGTACAAATAGGAGCTCTTCACAAAACTCCCAACTGTCTTTCTTACCTCCATTCTCCAAACTTACCTCAACCACGTTCCTTACTGCCTGTGACTGCACATAGTAACTCCATGATGAGGTCGTGCTAGAATGCCTTGCCATAGTAATCATTAATTTTTAAAGTTTGATCACTGAAGGCCTTTAATCCACTGGTAAGTGCTGTGCCTTCTATCTGCAACATGCCATGTGAATGCATGCACTAGTCTCCAAATTCATGGTTGCAGCTTAGGCCAAGGCACTGTGTTTTCTCAGTTGGAACGCTACAGGAGACTTGCAACTATTATCTCTGCTCTCCCTCATGCCCTGCCCACTTGTAACATTTCCCACACAGAGCAGTCACAGATAAATTATTGAATGTAAATTAGATCATGTCGCTCCCTTGAGCCAGTCCCCTCTCTGGCTGCCTGGAACACCCTGATGAAGAACCAAACCCTTCATTGTGGCTTCCCCATCCACTGCACCTTCCTCCAGTTCCTTCCTTTCATCTCCTCTCATACTGGGCCCCAGCCACAGTGGTAACTTTTCTGTCTCCATCCCTATACCCCGGAACTTTTCCTTTCTCGCACAGGGCTGTTAGAATTGCAGTTCTCTCTGGGAGGCAGGTTCACCTCTTGGGTCTGTAGGTCTGGCAGCTTATCGTTGTCCTCACACAGGTCTTCCCTGGGCTGCGGTAGCTCCTCCTTTGCCCCTTCTCTGGGATTCTAGGTAGATATATACTAGATTATTTTCCTTATTCCCCTGAGAGCTTTATAACCATTTGTAATAGGTTTTATATTTTCTGAAGAGTCTATCATGTACCTGCCCATTGTGAAATAAGCTCTCTGGGTGCAGGGGTTCTCTTTCTGGCTAGCAGAATGCATGGCATATGTGAGGCCCCAATACTTCTGAAATCATTCATCTGAATAAGGTCCCATAAGCGAGGGACCTCTCCCTCACCTCACTGATCTGCCGTAGGGCTCCTACCTCCCTGTCCCGTCACAATGCTGAAATGCTGAGGCCCAACTCATCTGCCTGCTTCATGCAAGCTGCCTGGAGCCCCAGGACATGGTTCCTAATAGTGGTGGGAGTGGTCACCTTGGTCAGGCACAGGCTGTGCAGCAGGCTTTTCCTGGGCCTCTTCCCTTTGACTTTGTTGGCACTAGCCCTGCCTGGGGGGAGAGAGCTGGACTTTGCAATCCAGCAAGGTACAGGTCTGTGCCGCTTCTTCTCTTCTCTCTTGGAATGCTTTCTGGGCAGTGAGGGAAAGTTCTCACTGCCTCCTCAGGCTCCTGATTATTTTTGCTCAGGTCCAGCCAACATGGCCACCATAAAAAACAGATTTTTCTACCCCTAAATAAGGTGAATAGGGGTGGGGAGAGAATATATACTGGGCAGGTGACGTTCCACGGTCACCGCAGTCCAATCATACAGCATTTGCAGGTTTCTGTTTTCTGTAGGGGCAGCCTCAGCTCCAGCGCAGTGATGATGTCCTAAGGTAAGGCAGTATATTTGATCATATTTTTTAATACCTGACCCCACTGGCTCATTTCTGGCATGGAAGGAGAGATGGGGGAAGGGTTGTTATGACTCTTGAAATTGGTTCCACCTGACTCTCTTATTTTGTTTCGCCAGCCCTGTCTTAGGTTTACCTACCTGGGTGCATGTATGCATATGCACTTACAAGCATACTGATGTTTACATTGTACGTTGTCTGAAGTTCTGATTGTAGCATTTCCCTGCTTGAGCATGCTGAGTGGTGCTCACGACCTTGGGTCCATAGTCCAAACCCTTCTGGAGCCTCCCTTTCTGAAGGCTCCCTTTCTGGAGGCTTTAGGACTCTGTCACACTACCGTGATGGTCATTAGCTGGCCTGCCCACTCAGCACTTAGCCCTGTATGGCTTCACTGCTCCCACGATGCACACTGCTGGTTCACCTCTTCTCTCCCTGCCCCATACCTGTAGCACATCAACACTCACTGTTCACTTATCACATTGCCAGTGTTTAGCCCCCAGTGGCATAAGTATTAGCTGGTGAAGTGGGACTAGAGTCTAGAGAGAGATTTCAGGTTTTGTTTCTGTGTTTCTTTGACCATGGATGTGCATTTCTTGGCTCAGGTTGAGAATCTCATCACCTTGAAGGCAGAGCCAAGAGTAAACATGTACCTGGCTCTGGACCAGGCCCTACCCATAGCTATTGCTTTGGCTTTTCTCACCTTACCATTGAGGATGGCAATATTGATGGACGCACTTCATTCCTTCACTAGCAGGCACCATAGACACGGGCTTGGGGGACGGGCAAGGAGTTGGGGCTGTACAGAAACCCAGGTCCATCGTTCTCCCATAATCTGGGAGACTTTCTAGACTTTCCAAGCTTTCCAGATCAGGTTGTCTATGCCCAAGTACAAGCTCAAAAGCAGCCTATATCTTCCTGTCTCCTAGGCTCCCTTATCCCTTATCTGTAGGAACTGGCACCAACCTGTATAAATATTTGTGTCATGGCATTATGAGTGAACACATGTCTTTTAGTCTCTTTCACAAGTGTTGCAGAAGAGGAAAAAGACTGGAAAAGGGAGAGGGATCTCAAAAGATGGATCAGCTTGAGGGCACTTGGGAGCCCCAAAATCAGAATGTCTGCTTTTTTGGCAATGGTGACCTTAGAGTCTTCTCTCTCTCTCTCTCTCTCTCTCTCTCTCTCTCTCTCTCTGTCTGTCTGTGTCTGTGTCTCTCTGTCTTTCTGTCTCTCTGTCTCTCTCTCTGTCTCTGTCTGTGTGTCTGTCTCTGTGTCTGTCTGTCTCTGTCTCTCTGTCTGTCTGTCTGTCTCTCTCTGTGTCTCTCTGTCTCTCTGTCTCTCTCTCTCTCTCTCTTTCTCTCTCTCAGCAGAGGACTGAGGAGAACCCCTGGATGTAAGAAAACTACTATTCTCCACTTTGTTTAGGCCAGGCTAGTGCATCTTCAAGCTCACCACACTCCCACCTCTCCCCTGCCCACCTCCTTTAGGTACTTCTTAAATTTAATCATGGAAAGATTTAATTATTAGCATAGGGGCGTAAAATACATCCTCCTTCGTTGAACCCAAGGTCTTTGGGGCCACAGTGGAGTCCTATCACCGCATAAACATACGAGGACACTAGGAGACACTGAGTTCTTACCCACTTCTTTGCCCCCTCCACCCGGCCCCCAGTTTTGCTCCAGGCCCCTCTCACAGCCCGAGGCCCGCAGCCCCGCTGCAGCCACAGGGGGAACCAAAGAGACAGAAGCCTTCCCAGCTGCCCGGACCACAGACGCCAACACCCCCCCTCCCGCCCCCCACCACACGCCGCCCTCCCGCCCGCGCCCGGCACGCTAGCCCACGACAGACAGGCAGCAGCAACAGCAGCAGGCTGCAGTCTGGGGCGACTCGCGCTTCTGCGCTCCTGGCAGCGCTCGCCATCCGGCTGAGTTGGACTTGGCCAGTTCGGCTAGCTGCGCACCACCCCCGCCCCAGCTCCCACTTGCGCCGCCCCCGGCCGGGCCCCGGTTTCTGCGTCCTCCGGCCCTCCGGCCCTCCCTGGCCTCTTCTCTCCCTCAGTGTTCAGGAAGGGAGGTCGCGGCAGCGGCCCGGCAGCAGCGGTGACCGTGGCGACAGCGGCGACAGTGGCAGCGGCGGTGGCGGCAGCGGCTGCGGCGGCAGCCGAGGCTGCGGCGGCGACGGTGGCAGAGGCAGTGGCGGAGGCCTCCGTGGCGGAGGCGGAAGCAGAGGTGGAGGCTGAGGTGGAGGCCGAGGCCTCAGCGCAAGATGCAGCGGCCAAGGCCATCCTGGGGGAGGCGGCGGTCGCCCTGGCTGGGGAGGGGGCGGAGGCCAGCGCGGCTGTCGCCGCTGCTGCGGCCAAGGCTGCGGTGTCCCCCTTGGGGGAGGCGGATGCGGATGAGGAGGTAGCAGTGGCAGCCGCCGCCGCGGCAGCTACTGCAGCAGGGGAGGTGGATGCGGAGGTGGATGCGGAGGTGGGCGGGGGCTCGGAGGGGAACCCAGACTTTCCCATGGCCTCGCTGTACGTGGGCGACCTGCACCCTGAGGTGACGGAGGCAATGCTATATGAGAAGTTCAGCCCAGCAGGGCCCATCCTCTCCATCCGCATTTGCAGGGACAAGATCACCCGCCGCTCCTTGGGCTACGCTTATGTCAACTACCAGCAACCGGTGGACGCCAAGCGGGCCCTGGAGACCCTGAACTTTGATGTCATAAAAGGGAGGCCAGTGCGCATCATGTGGTCCCAGAGGGACCCCTCGCTCCGCAAGAGTGGGGTGGGCAACGTCTTCATCAAGAACCTGGGCAAGACTATAGACAACAAGGCTCTGTACAACATCTTCTCGGCGTTCGGCAACATCTTGTCCTGCAAAGTGGCCTGTGACGAAAAGGGGCCCAAGGGCTATGGGTTTGTGCATTTCCAGAAGCAGGAGTCCGCTGAGCGGGCCATAGATGCGATGAATGGCATGTTCCTGAACTACCGCAAAATTTTCGTCGGGAGATTCAAGTCCCATAAAGAAAGGGAGGCCGAAAGGGGAGCCTGGGCCAGGCAATCCACCAGTGCTGACTGCAAGGATTTTGAGGAAGACACTGATGAGGAGGCCACCTTGCGATGAGGACATGCCTGGAGCAAGCCAGCAGAGCCAAATCTGGGCTCCTATCCGGTTTACAACTCCCCCCACCCCAACCTACCAGCAGTGTATTGTATTGGGAGTGCAGGTCTCTCTCTTTCCCTTTCTCCCCCTCCTTTCCTCTCCCTCTCTCTCCCTCCCCCTCCCTCTCTCCCTCTCCTTCCCCCTCTCCCACTCCTTCTCCCTCCCCCTCTCCCTCTCCTACTGTACCCCCCCTTGTCCCTCCCCTCTCCCTCTGTTCTGCCTTCTCTCCTTCTCCCCTTACCCTCCCACACTTCCCTTCTCCCCCTCTCTGCTTATCTCCCACCCCTCTTTCTTTTCTCCTCTCCCTCCTTCCTACCCTGTTCCCCCCCCCACCCCTCGCTCTGTCCCTCTCCCTTCCTTTCTCCTCATTTCCCTTTTCCTCCTTTTCTCCTCTTCCTCTCTAGCTCTTCCTCTTCCCTCCACCCCTACCAAGGGTGTTGTGAGTAATCCTCCTAATCTGTGCCATTGGATAGGTTAAAGGCTGCCACTTCTCCCTGTGGCTTGGTTCTTAAAAGCATTTTCTTTCTTCTTTTTGTTCACTGCACAGGTGATTCAATCTCATGGTAGAAATATCAGAAGGGAGAAGGAAATCCGATGACAGAAAATCAAGAGAGTCATTGCTCCTCACGATCTTACAACCCAGAAAGAACCACTTTTACCTTTTTGGTGTGCTGTTTTTCCAGGCTCTCTTCTCTCCCTCTCACTCCCACTCCACCTCCCCTGTGTCATACTGTTGTAGAATGGTTCATGTATGTGGTGTTTCTTGACCTGATTTTTTTTCAGCAACCAAAACCAAACTAAAGTCAGCCCACTGAACTCCTTTCCACGATATTCAACAGGCTTATGAAACATCATCTTCGGTGCCTGCTGAGTGCTCCTGTGTATCCAAGGATCTTAATGTTCCTGTAATCATTCCCGCATTGTTGGACATTCAGGTGGTGCCTAGTTTATTCCCTGTGTTTAAAACCAACACTGTGCTCTGATGAGTGAATCCTTGCCTGTCAAGCCAAATCTCTGCTAGCATTCTGGATGGTCTCCTTACCTGTGGACTTGCAGAACCCACAGAGGGACATTTCAAAGACTTTTCCTGTGTGTTGCCAAAAGGCCCGCTTCATAAGCATTGTTGCAGTTTGCACTCATGCCACCCAGCACAGCTAGTAAAAAGAGTATGGCCACTTCCCCTACATTGTCTCCTGGTTGCAGTAATTGGGGTGTGTGTGTGTGTGTGTGTGTGTGTGTGTGTGCGTGCGGGTGTGTGTGTTTGCCCAGCTTAATTGACTGCAAATTGGTGGTCACTACCATTGCTTGTTTTACTGGAATTGAGCACTACTGATCACTCCTTTCTCCACTGCCCACTTCCTGTCCTTTTCCTGATTGTCAAAAACCTAAGTCACCATCATTGTAGGAAAATGACAAAATATTCACAAGGCAGACAGGTTAACAGAAGAAAATTGAAATAATCAGTTTTCAATCCTAATGGACACCCACCATTTCCCATCTCTTGTTGTCTAATATTTTCAATACCTCCCTGAAAGGTTTTGACTTTTGGTCGTGCATTTTTTATGCATATGTCATATATGTATATTGAAGTATTCATACCATTTTTATATCTGCTCTTCATGCATAAATATGTGAGTATGTGTTACATATGCATACTCGGCATATATTTCATGTCAATAAAATACTTTAAAACATTTTCTCTGGCTACTAATATTCAGTTGACTTATACCAATACATGTAAAACCATGTCAATGTTATATTCTTCATACGTCTTTGCATATGTTTTAAATCTTTACTTATTTTTAAATAACTAGGTTGTTTGTATATATCAATTTTAAATACAAACCAAACTTTTCAGTATCCTAGTGCTGACAGCTTATTGACATTCAGGTTATTTTGTTGAACAACATTTGCCAAAAGAGTATTTAAAGCAACAGTAACAATTATTTTGTTCTTTTTCAACAGGGAAACATGCATTAAATAGTCATCCATCTATACTACAAATTTAATTTTATAATGTTTGCATTATAAAGAGGACTTTATAAATTTAACTTTATAATGTTTGCATTATGAGAGGACATGGCTAGTTGGCTGATTATCTGTATTTGATATTATAGCCATCTCTGATCTTTTCCATATTTTATTTAGGTAACAAATTTTGTGGTTCCACTTTAACTATTTTATATTTATATATATAAAAGTTATATAAAATTTCTTGATAATCATTATATATATAAAATGATTATATATATTTTATATATATAAAAGTTCTTGATAATCATTTTATATATATATAATGATTATCAAGAAATTTTTAAAAAGATTTTAATGTTAGACATAGTAGCCAAAATCCTAGTAGCATTCCTAAAATTTCTACTTGAAAACATAAATTTTAAGTGAGTATCTACATGTCTTTATTTTATAATACAATATACATTGTTTTGTTGGTAAATATTTTCACAAAAGCAGTCTTTATTTCTAGCAATTATGTTTACTATATAAGATTTCTTTTCAAGAATGTTCATTTCTACAAGCAACCATTTTGTTGTATGCTTAAAATGATTTTACCTTATTTGCTGAATCGTTGATTCTACTATGAATATCTTTTTTCCTGAATGTCAAGGAATGTTTCTTGTGTTTTTATTCCTTTCTGGTGGGATTCCATTGCAATAGATATGCATTTGTCAAATCTTTTTCTTCATGCGTTTTGAAGTGTTTCTCCTTTTAAAGTGTATATCCTCCAGTGTTGTAGAAAAGTGTTCATATCAGTACTCATCTTCTTAAATTGGTCAAAGTTATTTTTTAACTTTTATAAAGTCAAAATGACATATAGTTTTTATTGTATCATTTTATAAATAATTTGAACAAGGTGAAATAACATTAAAATATAGATAAGTGTGTTTTCATATATCCTATATAGGTTTTTGCTACTCATAATTTTGAGACAATTATATAATATACTGAATACATTTATCTTAAATTTTTGTTTCTTTGTTTGTTTTGTACTGGACATCAAACTCATAACCTCACACTTTTCAGGCAGTTGCTGTTCCACTGAGCTACATCCCCTTTCCCTTAATTTGCTTTTGATATAAATACTTGTGGCTATTCAAGTTTCTCCTACAACTGATTATCAATGTATATGACTAGAAATTTCTTTTTAAAAATTTCTCCATTTTGCATAATTAAATATCTTTTAAGATTTTTCCATTAGTCCAAAATCCAATGTGAACAATTCTGTATTTTTCCTCTCTTCTAGGTAAAAGCATTTAATACTCTTTGTTTACACAAGGGGTGAATTAATACTTAAAAATCACAATGTGTCAAAAAATTGATTTAAAAAAGAAAAAAAGGTCATTTTTAAGAAGCCACTTAAAAGTAAGACACAAACTCTGTAAAATTAGTAATAAAAACTTCTGTTTCAGTAGAATAACAAGCTAATTTGTACTATTTAATACTATTGCACAGACAATTTGTCGAAGATTGAAATTTGGAAAACACTGAAATATCAAGATTTTACTTGAAGAATATATTCTTTTTTATTGTATGAAAAAAGTAAAACAAAATTTCATAACTGTCTTAGATACTTTTGTCTCATTGCCAAGACAAAATGCCAGACACCCCAAATTAAGAAAGGAAAATTTTATTTAGTTCACAGTTTGAAGAGGTTAAAGTCTATAATCAGCTGGCTCCAAGGCAGGGTGGCAAGGCAATACTTCAAGGCAGCATAAGACAGCAAGAGAAGAAGCCAAGATAGCACGCCTCTTCTTCTTTATATTGGAAACAGACTACTAGTCCCACCCCCAAGACAGGCCAGAGAATCATAAAATCTCTGTGCCCTCTCTCCTTCTTACACAGTCTCAGGATGTTTACAAAATGTGGAACCTGGCTCTCTATTGAGTCACTTTGGTAAATTAAATTTCTCAAGTTGACACATATCAACCATTACAATTCACCCTTTTGAACTTGGCAACCAGACCCATTCCTTTAAATCAGCCTCCAGATATAAAGCCATGCTTATTCTTATCATTTTACAACTTGAATGTTATAACACATTTTTAATAATAAGACTTAAAACCCAATATTAAGTCTATCATTATATTACATTAGACCCATAATATTGTGACCCTGGTCTCCAAGACTCATGCACATCCTTTATGCAAAAAGCATTCAGCCCCCCTGCCAGAGTTGCCAAAATCCTAACAATTTTAGCATTGCTGAAAAGTCCAACTCCCAAGTCTCTTCTGAGATTTGAGGCAAACTCTTAGCAGCAAGACCCTGTATAAATGAAAACAAAGTTAAGCACTTCCAACATGCAATGACACAAAATAAACATTTTCATTTCCAAAGTTACAAATGGGGATACAAAGAATTTGGACCAAAGTAAGTACAAAGTCTAACATGGCAAACATTAAGTCCTTTAGTTCCATGTCCAGCATCTGAAGTAATTTGTGGCAAATTGTGAGCTCCAAAGGATTGTGTGTCTGCAACCCTATGGCACTTCTGGTAGTTATAATTCCCACAGCTTTTCTCTTAGGATGGGTTTGCTCCCTCCTCAGAGCTTTTCTGGCTTTTCCAAACTTCTGGGATCTCCACTTCACCTTCAATTTCACCCTCGGAGCTTCATATATTGCCTCCAAGGGGCACAGGGCCTGGCTTAGCATGGCTTTCTGAAATTGGTGTGAAAGTCTTCTTAACCATGAAACTCTAGCATTCTGCATACATTCAAAACCTGAACCACGTGTATGATGTCAAGATCTGTTGCCAGCTGGAGCAATAGCAAAACTTTCCTCCCCCTTGGCTGTAGGGATTGAGTGCCTGGATCACTGGGCACTCTGAATCCAATTCTGAGTAACAATTTTTGTATGCTGCCACCATCCTGGGACATGGTGCTCCAAGGTTTTCTCCTCATATCAAAGTCTTTCACTTTTGCGGTTTAGAGTTTGCAAAGGAGACTTGCTGCTTTTTGTGATGCATTCAAGCCATCTTTTCTATTCTCCTCTTCCTTCTAAATAACTGTGATTTCCTCAGCTATAGCTTTACAAACCACAGCTTTATTGGACCTTCCTTTCTGGTCAAACTCACACTGTTTTAAATTATCATGTTGGGCTCTTTGCTCTTGATTTTGAACATGTATCTGGCTAAAAGCCCCCAACAGTATCCAGGCCATAGCCTCCACCTTTGAATGCTTTGAAATCACTTCTGCCAGATTAATTAGTCCACTGACCTTAATCTCAGCCTCAGGCAAAGTCTCCAGACACAAGCAAAATGCAGACCAACTTTTTGCCAAGCCATAACACGCATTGTCCAGGGTCCAACAGCCAAAGCAGTCCATCTGTACTGCAGAAATCTACCCAGTATGATTTTACTAGCAGGATTTCTGTTACACTTCTGATCTTCTGAGCTCTGACCAGAATCTCCCAAAAAGGACAGCCTAAAATGTTCCAGCTATATTCTTTTAGGCAAGATCTCAGAACATTTACAAACTTTTCCCACATTACCAAAGGCTGTTGAATGATATGGATAGGTACAGTCACAGCAAGACCTCATTTTTTTGGTACCAAATTGTGTCTTGGTCTCATTTCTCTCATTGCTAAGACAAAATGCCTGACACTCAAAATTAAGGAAGGAAAGATTTATTTATTTTACAGTTTGTGGGAGGTGCATCCCATTATCAGCTAGCTCGAAGGTAGGGTGTCATGACCCAGGGGCAATGTTTCAAGGTGGCTTAGGAGAGCAAAAACAGCAAGAGTAAAAGTAGGAGGATGCTAAATATCTTCTCCTTTATATTTTATTTTTTGAATTTTATTTAAGGAGAAAAAGAAAAAAAAGCAGAGAAAGGGTACAAGTTATACAAATTTACAGAAAAAAATAAACAGTAGGAAATCACTAGTTAATGGATTACATATTGCCATCTTAGAAATAATTGTTCAATTTACAAAATTAAAGCTTATAAAGTGGACATTACAACAGTGGGACTGCAAACAGTTCTGTTCAATGATCCAACAAAACTCAGTAATATCATTATCTATCTTATACACTTAAATATACATGCAGTTATATCATTTAGAGCACTTTCTTTTCCTCTCTTTTGTACAATGACAATTACATATTTTGGGTTTTGTTGCTACCACAGTTCTTATTACTTTTTTGCAAGAGAGTAGAACCAAATGTGACATAACAG